CTGACAGCCTGGCAGATCCAGCTGCTGCTCTGGGAGCCAACAGAACTGAGCTCTCTGCTCAGGATATTGTTTTTGTCTCACAGCCAGAACCACTGCTGGGGCCTCTCCATGGCTGCATTAGCACTGGAACCATCAAGGAAGGGACTGGCAGCAGACATTAAGATATCAGAAGTGGTTTAAGAGAGTGCTTGGCTTACTTGGGAAGAGCTGATAAGAGCTGGGTGCCTTACTCTATTTTTTAAGGCCACACACACTGATTTTTACCATTTCACAATCCAAACCAAAGAGGGGGCTGCTGTCTGTCCTCTGCTGATCACACTCTGTGGAGATGTAGCCCTTGCATCCAGGGGAACCTGGAGGGAAAACACACTTGGGAATAAGAAGATCTTTCTTCTACAACTCATATGACAAAAGATATCACTAAACTGTCAAAACTAAAAACAACCCCCAACACAAGAAAACAATAAACAGCCCTCACCCAAAAACTGACCTTCTATGGGATAGTCATTTTTTTTCTGCTCTTCTAAAGTCAGAGTATAGCTGGTAAGGCCTTGTTTTTTTTCTCCATATCTCTGAATGATGGGATCACATTGCAAGTCTGAGCTTTTAGTAGTGCACTCACTGCTGGTGGAAGTCAAGCCTGTAAAATACACAAGCATCTGTCAAGCTCAGTTTCTGTATCAGATCAACACTCAGAGGCTGCACCATTCCAGATCACTACCTGGAACAACAGACTGGAGAGAGAGAGAGGGTCAGAGAAAAAGACAAGAGTCTTAGCTCAAACCTAATGTATATCTTTGATTACATACATCTTGCAATGGGTAGTAAAGCAGCAGGGATTGGGATTAAATATGTTAAAAACTTTCTCTCATTTTGCATCCACTTTGACAACCAGCCCAACATGAGTTACTGAACTAGTCAGGGTAAGAACTCTCTCTCTCTTTAAGACATTGTATGCCTTCCTTTCTAAACAAGTTTACCATGGCAGCACACTGGGATTGCAGAGGATGCAAAGTCATAAATCTCTGTTCAAAGTGAGTCACTATCTTGAAAGAGACAATGCAAACCCAAACAAAATACCTTGTGGAGTGTTTTGAGGCTTCAGGTCTGTTCCTTCTCCATACAGGCTGACTGGGAAGTTGGCAGAAGGTGCTAATGTGAATCTCTGAAAAAAGAAAATGTGAAAACGTGTTACTGGCTTTGAAAGACAGGCAGAGATAAGAAGAAAATTAGGGGTTCACTGATCCCCAAGCCAGCCAAATTCAGAGGAGGATGAAAAAAAAAAATAGTGGAAATACATTTGGTGTTTTAGCAAGCAGACAAACCCAACACAAATCAAACCTGTTCCAATGAGGGAGGACACAGGATTCTTTGTACTACAGGACAGATCTGCCTTGCCTGATATGATCAAGAAGGCAAATCTCAAGACCTTCTTTGATAGAAGCTAAAGCTAGTTCCAGTCTTTCCAGTTAAGTTGTGATTTACATTTGCTGCAGTTCAGGAAGAACTCTCTAGAAGCTTAAATTCAAGTCCTTCTTTCTATCTTCTTTCAAAAATGTTGCTTGTAAGTCAGAAAATTAATTATTTTTATAATCTTTATGGGAAATGGGAGAAACTTGACATAAAGTGCAAATAATAGAAGTGATATTTTTCAACCAGTGAGACTAGCATAACTCTAAAGACAGTCTGCTCACTCACAGTAAATTCCAAATTACTGAAATTATTTCAAGATATTTATCACAATTTATCATAATTGGCATCCTGTAGGTGCAGGATATGTAACAGTCAGAGGACTGAAACATCAATAAACATTTCATGTGGTAAAGCTTCAAAGATGTAAGTGTTGAAATCCTGTTCCTGATATCAAAGCCCTGTCGTCTGTTCTGAGCTGACAACTGCTGCCAACAGATCCTCTCACTTGCTGTCAAGGATGGCCACATCCTTGGAAAAGGCAGTAATTCCACTGCAGCCATTGTCCCTGGGATTTCAGGACTGGCAGAAGTTTGGAGGACAAGGATGCAGTCTGGGACTTACATGGCGGAACACTTTCCTGAGGTGTTTGAACTGTAAATAGAATCTGTAGAAATGGAGTTGGCTCATTTCGTGCAGAACAACAACCACAACCCCAGCCAGGTGGCTTTGGTGATAAATACGGCACCAGCTGCAGTTAGAAAAGAACAATAATTTAAAATATATATAAAAATCAAAGCAAAACAATTATCAAGCACTCTTAAAAAAAAAAAAAAAGTTGGAACCAGCCCAGCTTTTAAGTCAGTAAATGGCAAAGTGCCAAATGACTTCAATAAGAAGAGGCTTTATAGCTTATCTCCAACAGCCACATATTCCTGGAAGCAACAGAGTACAGGAGACAGAGAAAGAAGAGTTATTGCAAATTCCTGCTGCATTTCAAGACATGTATACTTCATTCATATGCATCAGAATGTGACTATACCAGCAACTTCTACTGTAGTCATGCAGTCTGGTGAATTAGTGAATCAAAATAAGTTTCACAAAATAATTCTCTATTTGCTTTTAAAATCTAAAGTGGGATATTTTCTGCTTTGAGTTTCGTTTGATTTCATTTTTGCCATTCAAGGTTATAAGCCCTCCTCAGCCTTTCCCTTCCAGTCCTGAGAACTGGTCCAGAGAAAGGGAGAAGTGACTAAAATGTTTTGTTTTTTCTAAAATGCTCTAGAACACTCTGTTTCAATTATATCTAATGTGAAATGCATTAATATTTGTGTTAATATTTTAACATGGTATTTTCCTTCTCAGTGTGTGGAGCTTCTTCAGTTCCACAGCAGTCATTCAGTTTTTCAAAACTGCATGAAACAAAACTATGGAATGGTAGGATTTCTGCCAGAAGAGGAATTCTGCTTCCTGGGCAAGTCTAACAATTTTATCTGCACAATCCAGGCTGCCATTATGGCAACTCCACAGTGAGTGCTCCCAACCCAGCATGGCCAATATTCCTGCAGGAATGCTCTCACACCAGGGCAGAAGAGGAGAGCAGGCTGGCTGCAGTACCTGGGCTGTGCTGCATTGTGGCATTTCCCCAGAGCTGCATATTTCAGCAGCTCATACAGCTGCTCCTGGCTGATTTCAGAGTCCTCACCCAGCAGAGCTGCTGACAAATGACAGGATTTCACCTGTGGAAAGGGAAATGCTGGTAAGAGAGGTTTCAGGTAATCACACCAGTCCATGAAGGAAGAAAGAAGAAAAAAGAAACTACTTGGATACAACCAGTATCCTGGGCAACAGCTTCCTTTCAGATCCCACTTTAATATTACATTTACTCAACATTTCAGTAACCCAAGTACTCTAACTTTGAAGATTTATTTAACAAAGATTAACATAAGCAGATGTATGCAGTAAGGAGACAACTGATATTCAAACACAATATTCTGGTCTCTCAACCCTTTCCCCCACTTGCTGCTGCATAGCTTTAAACATCTGTGCAAGTGTTACCTACAGGACCCACTCTATGGGAGGCTTTCTCTATCTACAGTGTGGGATCGGCTCTGCCACAAGGGTTTGCTGACCCCTGCAGGGAAAAACGTTTCAGTAAAATCCAAAGAATATGCAGAAAGAAAGCACTGAGCTGATGAGGTGGGGACTGTGCCACACATTCCTGCATAGCAGTTCTTTAAGCCTAAATGCACAATTTCTTCTAAAGGCTAATCAGCAAGTAAATATGGCATTTTGGTGACCTCCACCGACCAGATGGCCTCTTCCAAAAAACTCCTGTAAAAATTTTAAAGAGATTCTTATTATAAGTGATAAAAAGACATCAAGGCATACAGGGGGAAAAACACCACACAACACTAGAGAATGTAAAACCTCACAGCAAACACCCACTGAAGTTCCTTCCCCCCACACACTAACAAGCCATGTGCTGTAATTTGGTCAGAGCCTGCCCACAGGGGACTGAGCTGGTGTGCTCTTCGGGACATTTGTCACTGGGTAAGGAAGTTAAAGAGAGGCGACAACGTTCGTGGTTCCAGTGGTTAAGAATCATCTAGCAATAACAGCACACGCTGGTGTAATTGCTAGTGCCTCATCTCTCAAGCTGAGACAAGTAATGACACCGTTGTTTTCAATACAGCCTAATTAAAGCTTTGCAAAAAACCCCACACAGAGAGCAGAGGTTTTGATTCACCAAGGAGAGGGTACTGCCAGCCACAGGAATTTGTCTCTAAGCGGATACAAACAGGGCTGATCCCACGGGCTGGAGACAGCAGCTCCTGTCCCACGGGCAGTGACTCAGTGTGCCCTGGGTCAGGTGTCCCCGTGGGGCTGCTCTGCATCCTCCAGCAGTGCATGTGCCGAGCACGCACAATGCTCCTTTCGGGATCTGCTTTGTTTATGAGAAGATTATATTGGAGAATATATCTATTTTTTAAACAAAAATCCTTAAATGTAATGCTGAGCACTCCAAATGAGTTATTTTCCACGTGTCTTGGAGCAGAATCCACGGCCCCAAACGTGCCCAGGTTCGAGAAGCGTTCGGACAATGCTCTGAGGCATGAGGCGGGACTGGACTGGCCACAGTTCCAGGGCCAGGAGCCGGACCCGATGAGCCCTGCGAACAACTCAGGGCATTCTGTGTTGTTATCAGCAGGCACTGGCTGTATACGACCCTCCCGGTACGCTGCCGCTGTCCACGGCTTTGGGGACTCCCAGCGCCCCCGAGAAGCGGCCGTACGGGACACAGGGCCCGCACAGCGCCGGGCGCTCGGCTCTCACCTCGGGGCCCCTGCCCGGGCCGCCGCCATCTGCCTTCCGCCTCTTCTGCGCCGCCCGCGGCCCCTCCGCGCCTTCACTGAGCCGCTTGCGCCCGTTGAGGCACAGCCCCTTCGCCATGGCCCGCACGGGAGCGGCGGGAGCAGGCGGCCCCTCACGGCCGGATACGGCCCCGCGCTGCCGGGGGCTCTGGGATGGTGCTGGGCGGCGCCAGGGCCGCGGCCGGAGCAGCCGAGCGCCGAGAGCGCGATAGCGCGATGGGGGTGGGCCCGCGGGAGCTTTGAAACGGCGGCAGCGCGCTGAGGCGGCGGAGCTGCCATGGCCACCAAGCGGCTGGCCAGGTGCGGGGCTGGGGCGTGGTGGCGGTGTCCGGGCGCAGAGGGGCCGCGGCGGTGGTGGTGTTGCTGTTGGTGTCCGGGCTCGGAGGGGCCGCGGCGGTGTCGGGCGGCCCCTGAGCCCGGTCGGTGTCCGCAGGCGGCTGGGGCTGGCGCGGAGCAGCGGGCGGACGCGGAGCGGGGCGCGGGCGGGCGCGGGGCAGCGCTTCGCCTTCCTGATCGTCCTGGACTTCGAGGCCACGTGCTGGGGAGACCGCGACCGGCGCGGGCCCGAGATCAGTGAGTGCGCCCAGCTGGCTCTGAACCTGTGGCGTCTTTATGTGTCCTCCTTGTATTGGGTTCCTTTAACCCCTGGCGTTTCAGCCCCAGTGTAACGGGATAATAGATAGATATATTATATAAATGTGTGCATATATATTGTCTATCTCTCTCTCTCTCTCTCTATATATATATATAAAAATCACAGAATATTCTGAACTGAAAGAGACCAACAGGGATTATCAACTCTAGCTCTTAAGCGAGTGATCTATACAGGGATCAAACTCACAACCTTGACTTTATCGGCATCATGCTTGAACTCTATGTTTACACACACATATATATATATAAATAAATAGATATATTAAAATCTCTATAAATTTCATAATATAAAACTTTATATATAAAAATTCTCAATAATAAAATTTTAGATATATAAAAACTTTATATATATAAAATTTTTATATATAAGCATTTTTATATATAAAATTATAGAAATTTATTTTTATTTTTAATTATATATATATAAATAAATTAATATATATATAACCTACTCCATTATATAATATATATATACATGAATATGTGTAATGGAATAGCATCATGGAATATGTTGAGTTGGCAGAGACCCATATGAAAATGGTCTCATTCCTGTGAACAGTTTTAACCTTTCTGGCTTTGTGTTTTGGTTCTGTTTTGTTTGTTTTGTTTCTTCTTCTCCGTGTTTGTTGCAGTTGAATTTCCAGCAGTTCTGTTAAACACCTCAACAGGAGCCATTGAATCTGAATTCCACATGTATGTGCAGCCCCAGGAGCATCCTATTCTCTCTGAATTCTGTACAGAACTAACTGGCATAACACAGGTACAATTATGACTTAACATTGTTTTGTAATTGTATAATTGCTGTTTACAGTTTTATTTAAGGAGGCTATAAAGAAATAAACCTCAAATGAATTTCAGTGCATTCTAACACATACATGCTTCTTGTTCTGTTCCTTGAAGAATCAAGTGGACCAAGGGGTGCCTCTCAACATTTGCTTATCACAGTTTATGAAATGGATCCAGAAGATACAGAAGGAGAAGAAAATTATGTTCAGTACAGACAGTCAGAGTAATGCTACTTCAGAAGCAAAAGCGTGTGCCTTTGTTACATGGACAGGTAAATAACATTTTCATTTGCTTTTTCTGCACAGTAATAACATTAGGTGGCACTAGTGAGATTGTGTCTTTACTCTATACAGCCAAAATCCTATTATTAGGTATTAAAAACATGGAATACTGGGATAAGACTGAAAATATGAAATCCATGAAATCCTGACATGTTTGCTGCATCTTTGACTCCAGGGTCTGACACTGTTACATTTTTCTGCTTTAGTGAATTTTATGATCATTTTTAGTGTATCTAAATTAATTAGAGATCTTTAGATCTTTGGGATCTCTGTCTGAAGTTAATTACTAACAGGGGTTTGCTTCTTCTGGTGTCCCATTGCAGCAACCCCAGTGTCTCCCTTGGACAACCCTGTCACAGCCTGTGCCTCCTGCCTCCAGCAGCACAGGGTGCTGACAGTGTGATGGTGTTCTGTCCCTTTATGTAGGTTTTTAGGCCACCCAAAGGGACACACAGGCCACACTATGTGGATTTTAGGCCAGTTCTGCAGTGGTGGGTTGACTGTGGTTCTCCCTGCACAGACTGGGACCTGGGTGTGTGTTTGCACTACGAGTGCAGGAGGAAGCAGCTGCGCAAACCCGACATTCTGAATTCCTGGATTGATCTCAAAGCGACCTACAGGGTGAGAGGATGGACAGACAAACATTTCTACCCACACTCACCTCAAAGGCTGACTGCACCTGGGCTTACAAGGCAATGCTTTGTGTCCCAGTGACCAGAGTAACCTGGTTTTATTTTGTGTTGTTACTGCTCAATAACCAACTGCCCTAGAACTCTGTGACCTTGAATGGAAATCTTAATGCTAGGAAAAGATTGCTGTTTGATAAAAGAATGATAATTATGAGAATTTATGAGCTGCTCTTCCTTTCCTGACATGTTTTGCTCTCCTTGCTTCCTATCTTTTTTTGTTTTATGTGCTTCTATTGCTGCCTTGTATTGCTGTGTAGGAAGTTGTCATTATAGTCTGTTTAGAGGTACCTTACAGGTAGGCAGCAGAATTAGGTTTCTAAAGACAAACAGTGTGAATATTCTCCCTTTGCAGTGATCAAATCAGATACTCATATTAGGAGCAAGAAGTAATACTCACTTTTTTCACTTACAAAAAAATCCATACCTATGCCAAATTCATGCCCATGCCTTTGATTTCATCTTAAGGTATTATTTATAGTTTTATTCTTCAATGCTGGTCTGTTAAGACTTTCATCAGTGTAAGTAAGCCATAGAGTGCAGACAAATTATTCCAGAACTCAGACAAAATGGACTTACTTAAGACTGAGAGAAGGGATTCATGTTTCTTTCCATTCTGATTTCTAACAGGGTAAGTAACTTATGGTCTTATCCTCACTGTAAAATGCAGATACCCAACTTGCTTAATTTGCATTGTGAGATTTATTATTTGTAAGGGGATATTTCTGAAATGGCTTTGCTTCACTAGGGAAAGGTTTTTAAATGCTTCATATTAAGCACCTGCATTTCTCTCCTTAGGCCTTCTATAACAGAAAGCCTAAGGGGCTCAATGGAGCTTTGCAGGATTTGGGGATAGTGTTTGAAGGACGGGAACATTCTGGTAAGCATCATGATCCTCATTTTAATATATATATAAATGTATGTATCTTACAAAGCTAAATTGTACTATTTAGCTCTAGTTAACCTAAAGCAGCTAGTCATTGCTCTTGAGTAGTTACTACTGTTTCAGATTATGCCATGTTCTGTCCAACAGACCATCAAAACAAGAAAGGCAAAGTGCTCTGAGGTCAGTTTGTTATTTCTAACCTCATACTTCATTTCTGAAATCTCTTCTACTGTTATTGAATGTATGTTCACAAGATCAATTTATCAATTTAAAATTGTGAATAGATACTCAGCTCTATGGATAATCCTTCAGATGTTTCAGCACAGAGAATTATTTGGAATTTTCTACTTCCATTCCCTTTTTTGAACTAGATGACTAAGTGTCACAGTTCTGTAACTCCTTGTCATTCCTGTAAGGCTTACCTAGATTACCTTTTTCCAGTAATGAGAACTATTCCCAGTAGCAGTTAAACAGAAGCCATTAATATAACCATACTTTTGAAGGGTTGGATGATTCCCGGAACACTGCTCGTCTTGCTTGGAGGCTGATTTGTGATGGATGTGTGCTGAAAGTTACTAAATCTTTGGATAAGGTTAGTCACTACTTTGTATCTTCCTGTCTACTTGCTTTGTAGCCTGGAATACAGATGAAAGGTGAACTATTCAAATAATAAACCCAGCATCCTGACTGTGATTTGGAAAGAACATCCTTAGGCTGATATGCTTATTAATTTTGTGTATTTATTCCCAAAATGTCTGGGTATTCACTTTCCAAAATCTGCTTTTGTTTACGGACTCCCTAGGCACATCAGAAGAGTAATTTAATTTCCAGAACACTGACTGTAAATGTCACTGACAAGACTCCACTGGGAAGTAAGAGCAGACCTGAAACATCTAGAGATGGAACTTGTGAAACGAAACCTCTGGCTGAGAACAAACACAAGGGTATTGCTGGAAACAAGATAAATTCTAATCTCCAGGCTGGGGAGCAGCAGATCCCTTGCACTGATCCCTCTGCAGATGTCTGTGTTGTACCCAGCAGCAGCTCGAGGACTGAATTCCATGCTCGATGCCAAAGCTCTTCAGCAGCATCTCCTGACAGGTTTCCTGCTCCCCTGGGTCAGGCACAGCCATGTCCCAGCCCTGCACCAGCAGGAATCCAGCAGGGTCTGAGCATTGGGCAGCCTCTGAGAACAGCCAGGCCCAGCCTCCCAGCACAGGGGTCAGGGCTGGTGCTGGTCTCCACCACCATCCCCTCAGTCACTGTCTCCACTGGGGACATCAGCACCAGCTCTGAGTGCCTGTCTCTGCTGACAGACTGGGAAGATGTTGCTTTGATACCAGAATCTCAATATGAACAAAATCCAGACTTTGTTCAGCTCAAGGATGACTCAAGTACAGACAGTCTAACAGTGTCAGAAGAAGAAACTATTTCAAAACAACTGGCTGTGACAAGTTCAGATAATCAGAGTTTGGAGGAAAGTGTGGCACCCATGGAACCTCTGAGGTCTGTTGTTTACAAAAGTCCTGATACTACAATCTATAATATAGGGACAGTTCAAAGGCAGACTTCAAAATTTTCAGCTTTCAAGTTACCATCTGCAAAGGGAAATGCTGTTCCAGCACAATCAGCATTAACTGGAAATTACTCTACTCCTTTAGAGGCTCCTAAAAGAAAGCCAACTAGTCCAAAAACATGCCCACCAGCAAAAAAGCAGTCTTTTCATATATATCAAGAGAAAACTTCCTCTTTTGATCACTCCTTACCTTGGAGAAGTTCAAATTTGCCCAGAGTATTTCCTGCAGTGCTGAACTCCACAGTCAATCTGAATGAGCCTGTGAGAGCTGTGAGAAATGGAAAATCAACTCCCCCTCTGTGTAACTGCGGCCGAAGAGCCAAAAAACTCTCTGTGTCAAATGCTGGCCCAAATCATGGCAGGGCATTTTATTGCTGTCCTGTTGGCAAGCAAGGAGGAAATAAGAAAAGTTGTGGATACTTCAAGTGGGAATATGCACTTCTGAAAGAGAAATCTAGTGGTCTCACCTTTAATGCAGATGCTTTGACCTCTCTTGGAACTGTTCCTAGTAATTCAGAGAATTCTTCCAACAAAAAATATTGGTGTCTTAGACCCTCTATGAGAACTTGAGAATGGATACAATTTTTTGTCTGAATCCTAAACTCTCTAAGTTTCATGCTTAATGGAATCAGGACAGTCAAATTATGTAAGATATATATTCTCAGAATGGGACAAAAAGGACAGTTCTTGGTTAATATAAATAGAAAGGAAAGTTGCTCAAACACACAAAACTATCAGCAGATCATAAAGTAACTCCTTAATAAAGTGTGAGAGAACAGGCAAAACTATAAGTGCTAAAATTAGAGTATGAGCAGCTGTTGGTACAATTCTTGAATTTCTGTTTTATCATATATTTTAAATACTTTACTAGTCCAGTCCTTAAGATTTTATTTGCCCTTTTTTTCCTTGTATATATATACTTGTAATGCCTACAACTTTTAATTTTTGAAAGATTTTAAAATCTCTTTACAAGGTGTTGCACATCAAAAGTGATTCTTGAAGCAATAGTATTCTTTTAAACTCTTACAGAGTTTTTTATCCTTTAAGTAATAATAAAGATAAGATACTGATATTTCATTAAATGCTTTATTTAACACATTACTGTTGAGCTCTTGCCTCTCTGGGTTTCCCATTTCTTTTCTATCAGTGTCTGCTTTAGCTTGTAGTGTAGCCCCTGGGACAGACAGATGGTGGGAATCAGGTAAGAATGTATTCAAACCTAAACTAAGAAGGATATAGTGTAATGTCTTACTTTACATTACTGTGTAAATCTGCAATGTCTTTCTTTGTAAAAAATCCTGCAAAAAAACAGCAAGTACTTTAATTTTTTTCCCCACTTCTACCACAGTTTCCTTCCAATGGTGGTTTTCTTATATTGAATTTGGATCAACTGCCTTGGTCAGTTTTTTCTACAGATCAGAACCTGTAACAATTCTTGCCCCCTTAATTGTCCAAGAAGCTCGAAAGTTACAGCAGGGAGAGGGGGCTTTTACAGGCCGGGATGCACACAGACACCTTCCTTTAGGAACTACGCTGTGAGCCACGACTGTTCCGTTAGCACATGTTCGCTATTTCTCCAAGCCTTCATTTACCTGTTCAAAGAGTCTGGTTTAGCTGGTCCCTCTGCGCTGTGACACCCTCGGGACTCGGACAGGGTGGAATTGGCCGAAGCATCTCCGTGGAGCGCACGGACGCGGCGTTGCAGAGCTGGACCGAGGGCTGCTCCTCTCCCCTCAGCTGCGGAATTATTAACACAGGTTTTAACTCTGGAATCGGAGCTCGGGGGAAGCGAAGGCATCAAGGGCTACGAGTTTGGCTGCGGCTGAGCGCGCCACCGGAGTGCTCGCCACCCCGGGTCTGCGGCCCGCGCTCCGGAGGCTCGCTCCTTGCGGGTCGCTCCCGCGGCTCGCTCCCGGGGTTGGCTCGGCGGTGCCCGCGGCCGCCGCTCCAGGCGCGGCGCTGTGCCGGGCGGGCGGGCGCGGGGCGGGCGCGGCGCTGACGCCATCGCGGCGGTGCTGGCGCAGCTGCCCGATGGCCGCGGCCGAGCCGGCGGCGCGGAAGCGGCGGCCCAAGGGGCACTTCGCGGCCGGGGCCGGCCGGGCCAAGCGGCCCCGCGGCGCCGGGCGGCAGCTGGAGGCCGGCATGCGCGGCATCCTCATCACCTGCAACATGAACGAGCGCAAGTGCGTGGGGGAGGCCTACAGCCTGCTGGGCGAGTACGGGGACCTGCTCTACGGGCCCGAGCAGGTGCGTGTGCTCGGGGCGGGTTGGCGGGGCGGGCAGCGGCACCCTGAGGCATCGGCTCCTCCGGGCGTGTGGAAGGAGCCGGGCGTGTGGAGGGAAGCAGGTGTGTGGAAGGAGCCGCGTGTGTGCACCACGCCCCCGAATGCCCCAGGTTCTTTCTGGGCGAGCCCCTCGCAGCCCCGCTGCCGGCCCGGGCCGTGCCCTGTGCCGCGGGCCCATTGCGGGCTGTGAGCCGGGCATTGCTGCTCGGAGCTCACCGACAAACGGTGCCTGTGTGAAGTTTTCAGATCACGAGGAGAGGCTGTCTGGAAGCGACAGGGAGGAGGATGAGGATGATGTCGAGGCTGCTCTGAAGAAGGAGGTTGGCCAGATCCGTGCCTCGACGGAGCAGAAGCTGCGGCGGTTCCAGTCGGTGGAGAGTGGTGCCAACAACGTGGTCTTCATCAGAACCCAGGGCATAGGTGGGGCTTCTGCTGATGCTGAGTAATGCTCTCAAAGTGTTAGTAAGAGGCCACAGAGTGTGGCTTCCAAGTAACATGTGTATATCAAACAAATACCCTTCCCTTTGGCCATACTACTGAATTTTGTTGTTAGTGAAGAAACTAAAGGTAGAGGAAACTGCTTTGACAAAACAATCTTTGATTTAGTTTTGGTATAGTAAAACAATTCTTATATAAAGGATTTGAGGCTGACAGCAGTGCAGCCAAGTTCCCAGCTTATTGTTTAGAAGGGGAAGAGGAGGAATAATGCTTTTTATTTGTTGCTCATACCCAACTGTTTTTCTTGTAGAACCTGAGAACCTGGTGCACCATATACTGAAGGATATGCATACCACTAAAAAGAAGAAAACAAGAGTCATTCTGCGCATGCTGCCCATTTCTGGGACTTGCAAAGCTTTTATGGAAGATATGAAAAAATACACAGAAACGTTTTTTGAGCCTTGGTTTAAAGCCCCTAACAAGGGTACTTTTCAGATTGTTTACAAAGCTCGTAATAACAGCCATATGAGTAGGGAAGAAGTAATTAAGGAACTGGCAGGTATGTATGATTTTCACACAAAACAGAACAAGATTGCACGCACAACATGGGTCAGACTATTAAAAGAGGTCAAATTGGACATACACATTTTTTGTTGACTTCTAAAAGCTTCTCTAACACTTAAAAAAGCTTGACATGAGTATTCCTTGTTGGTGTTGATGTCTTAAGAGACTATAAGCAGAAGAGAGAACAATGTTGAATATAATTTGCAGTATCAGTTATATGTGCTTTGAAATGACTGCTATTAGGCTTTCTCTCTAGATGCTTTATTAAAATAATAATGTTACAATTTCTGTTCAATATTTCACTCATATAAAAGCTGTACCTTACTCAAGTATTTTATGAAATGGATAAAAATTAAGAGAGGAAGCAAGATCCTCCTCAGTTATAGCCAATTATTTTTATAATTGCTTAAAATGGCAGAACAGAGCGGGACTCTCGGAATGTACCCCCAGTTGGACTGAAGTAGCTGAAAAATTATCTCACTGCAATTTCTGAGAAACGAGACATGCTTATGCTCTTAAAGTGTTTTCCCAGCATCTTTTAAATTGCATCTTCTTTTACAGGAATTGTGGGCAGCCTCAATCCAGAAAACAAGGTTGATCTTAATAATCCACAATACACAATTGTGGTGGAAATCATAAAAACCGTCTGTTGCCTAAGTGTGGTGAGGGACTATGTTCTCTTCAGGAAATACAATCTGCAGGAGGTGGTGAAGAGCAACAAAGAAGATGCACAACAAAAGCCATCAAGTGTGACAGAAGAACAGAATTCAGAGGTAGCTAAAGCAGAAACTGAGGAGCAGGAGAAGAGCTCTAAAGAAGTAAAAGAAGAAAACAAGAATCAAAGTGAAATAGAATCTGAGCCCAAAGGGAATGATGCTTTGATAGTGTAGAAAATGTGAAATAAGGGAAAGGTAAATGTAATCCAAACATATAAAAAAAATTGCCCTGGAGTTCTGAAAGGGTGTTGCAATGAGGAGAGGGGTTTTGTTTTGAAGTCCTGGTTTTAAAATCCACAAGTGTAAGAATTTTAATGCTCGTTGCAGGTGGAACTGACATTTCAGCAGAGGTAAGGGTGCTCAACAGTGCATCACCTTTCTGGTGAAGCTTGCTGTCCTCCTGCAGCTCTGTTCTGCATTCCCTATACCTGGCACACAAAGCAGGGGTCTGTGCATGTATGTGTAGATGTGGCCACCCTGACATGTATGGACTCTCCTTTGTTACATCTGGAGGCTACAGAAGCCAAAAGGCAGCACAGAGGCAGCTCTGAGCAATTACTGTCAGAGAGATCTGGAAAAGAGTTGGTTGCAGAGGGTTTTGGAAAGGAAATGAGCTGACAGCTGCAGAAGTTGGTAATATTTTTCTGTGTGAACAACAGAATGAGGTAAATCTGATAATTTGATGGAGGGATTTATACATATATTTATATATATACACAGATACGCTGTCTTGACTTGAATGGAAAGAACTGTTACAAATATAAATACTTGAATATTATGAGATGATTTAGAGTAAAAGATTGGACTGTTTTAGAACAATAGTACAGTGCAGGCATTGCAGATGGTTTTATCAAAAACTACATGTGTGTTTACATTAGCTGTGTATGCAGCACTTACTGGTTTATAGTAAATGCTGTAATCACTGAATGGAATCCTTTTGAGTAATTTCCTGCAGATAGCCTTTTGCTGCTCTTTCCAAAGACTCAATCCTTGAGGGATTTTATAAAGTGTTTCTTGTTTAAATTTTTTTTCTTAAGTCTCAAAGTTTGAATTTAAATACTGATTGGAAGCTTCTTGTGAAAGAAGCTCTCCATTATACCATACTAGGTAAGGGGAATTAAATTTTAATTTTTGGTACAGTTTTAACTTTTTGGTATTAATTTTGTTTCAGATTGAAGGTAATGCTAGTGAGTCTTTCTGTTGTGCTGTTGTTGCAGTGGACTGTCCCTGTGACCCCTAAAAACCACCCAAAACCAGTGCAGCTATAACTTGCTTTCCAACAGGGTTTTGAGTATGCCTCCTGTAGAACTTTCTAGCTTTAGTATTTCATTTCTAGCATAAAAGCCTGTGTGTTGCTAATGGGAAAAGACTTACCTTAAAGAACACAATTTGTTACTTCTCTTGGTTTAATGAAAAGGACATGTTCAAGTCTTTCATAATTTATATTTTCTTCTTCTGTCAGAATTGTTTCAGAACTTGGAAAATGAAGAGAACTTTTTATTTCCCTAGTCCTGTCTCCATTGCAGCTCATTTATTAAAACTCTGCTTTCTTATGTCCTGTGGTGTT